GAAAAAAACAGAAATGTAGAAATTTTTGCAAATTTATTAAAAAAGAAAAACTGAAATATCACATGGTCATAAGTATTCAGACCCTTTGCCGTGACACTCATATTTAACTCAGGTGCTGTCTATTTCTTCTGATCATCCTTGAGATGGTTCTACACCTTCATTTGAGTCCAGCTGTGTTTGATTATAGTGATTGGACTTGATTAGGAAAGCCACACACCTGTCTATATAAGACCTTACAGCTCACAGTGCATGTCAGAGCAAATGAGAATCATGAGGTCAAAGAACTGCCTGAAGAGCTCAGAGACAGAATTGTGGCAAGGCACAGATCTGGCCAAGGTTACAAAAAAATTTCTGCTGCACTTAAGGTTCCTAAGAGCACAGTGGCCTCCATAATCCTCAAATGGAAGACGTTTGGGACGACCAGAACCCTTCCTAGAGCTGGCCGTCCGGCCAAACTGAGCTATCGGGGGAGAAGAGCCTTGGTGAGAGAGGTAAAGAAGAACCCAAAGGTCACTGTGGCTGAGCTCCAGAGATGCAGTCGGGAGATGGGAGAAAGTTGTAGTAAGTCAACCATCACTGCAGCAATCCACCAGTCGGGGCTTTATGGCAGAGTGGCCCGACGGAAGCCTCTCCTCAGTGCAAGACACATGAAAGCCCGCATGGAGTTTGCTAAAAAACACCTGAAGGACTCCAAGATGGTGATAAATAAGATCCTCTGGTCTGATGAGACCAAGATAGAACTTTTTGGCCTTAATTCTAAGCGGTATGTGTGGAGAAAACCAGGCACTGCTCATCACCTGTCCAATACAGTCTCAACAGTGAAGCATGGTGGTGGCAGCATCATGCTGTGAGGGTGTTTTTCAGCTGCAGGGACAGGACGACTGGTTGCAATCGAGGGAAAGATTAATGCGGCCAAGTACAGGGATATCCTGGACGAAAACCTTTTCCAGAGTGCTCTGGACCTCAGACTGGGCCAAAGGTTTACCTTCCAACAAGACAATGACCCTAAGCACACCGCTAAAATAACGAAGGAGTGACTTCACAACAACTCCGTGGCTGTTCTTGAATGGCCCAGCCAGAGCCCTGACTTAAACCCAATTGAGCATCTCTGGAGAGACCTGAAAATGGCTGTCCACCAACGTTTACCATCCAACCTGACAGAACTGGAGAGGATCTGCAAGGAGGAATGGCAGAGGATACCCAAATCCAGATGTGAAAAACTTGTTGCATCTTTCCCAAAACGACTCATGGCTGTATTAGATCAAAAGGGTGCTTCTACTAAATACTGAGCAAAGGGTCTGAATACTTATGACCATGTGATATTTCAGTTTTTCTTTTTTAATAAATTTGCAAAAATTTCTACATTTCTGTTTTTTTCTGTCAAGATGGGGTGCTGAGTGTACATTACTGAGAAATAAAATGAACTTTTTTGATTTTTGGAAAATGGCTGCAATGAAACAAAGAGTGAAAAATTTAAAGGGGTCTGAATACTTTCCGTACCCACTGTAGATAAATTTATGCCCAATGGCATGTGACTTTCAGTGGAATGATATTATGATGATATGATCGCTTCATTGAATGTTTTTGTTTTAGTCTGATTTAAGCAGTGGAACAATGTCACTGCACCGAACATCACTTTGATTATTCTATGCCATTTTGTATGCATTTGGAGTAATATAATTAATACCTTGATATTGACTGAAACCATGTGACCCAGTCATGTATCTGAAGATTCCGATTCATTCCTGAGTGAATCAGTCATGTCTGTTCATTCTAAAAGCACTAGTTTCACAAGGAAAGCAGGTCATATAGATGACCACCACTGACAAGCAGTAAAACCACACATAAATAATAATAATAAATAAGTATTTATTTTGGGGACAGTAATAAAATAACATGTGGCTGGTGGTTTTGCACACCAGTGCTGTTTGTGGGAAAGTTTTTGTGTTTTAGTGCACTCAGAAAAACTCTGCTGAGCTCTGCTTTGTTTGCTCGCCTGCTGTCTCTCCTGTCTCATTGTTGTGACGGACATTCAATATCAGCACCATGAATAGTGCTGTACAAGGGTGTAGGTAACAACATGTACCTAGCAATATTTGAATGAACTCATTCACATTATCTTTGGTGTGAAGCCATATTAGATGTGCCCTCCCAGAAGCTACCCCAAACTATTGACTAAGACTGTTGTTTCAGAACAGCGCTGAGAACTAGAGAGAGAGAAAGAGAGAGAGAGAGTGACACAAACAGCTCTTTCAACAAGTGTCCCTCTACTGATTTTGATAGAATCCTTCATAAATATATCGACATACAGTATATAATATCAAAACAGTAACCTTGTGGATGGATTACACTGGGCACTACTGCATTGCATTCCCGCTGCGATGGGGCTGTCAGAGCGGATCACAGCCATTAATGCTTGTGATCCCACCAGATACGTTCCTCCAAGGAGAACATGCAGCTAGTCTCTTTTTGATGGAAGTCTACTTTACCCAATTATTGAAGCTAAAAAATAAAAGAAAAAATGACAACTAACTAAATCTGAGCAAGTCAACAAAATCAGGAAGGCAAAACGCTCTGCTTCTGAAACACTCCTTGCTGGGTATGAAGTCGTGCAGAGGACAGAACAAAACTGGGTCGCAGATGTGACATTGTAGAGCCATGCTCGGTGGAATCCAGATGTTAGGGATTGTGACCGATGCGTTTTCCTCTCTCACTGCACAAGTGCTCCTTTCCAGCGCCATAGCTTTTCTGCCAGAGAAAAACACACTCTTGTGTTGTTGTAATTAAGCCTTTCTGGTGCTATTGCATGGTTATATCGTGTGTATCACATTAGCTTCTTTTAGTCTCTGCTCCTATTGGACAGCTGATTGACTTTAATTGGTGAGAGCGGGACTGAAAAAAAGACGAAGGAATAATGAGAGGGGAAGGAATAACAATTAAACTGCAAAGGACTGGAGGAACAAAGTGGTGAAAACTCTAACGGCTGTGACTTGCATCTGTAAATGGTGTACGGCGCTACAATGGGTTGTAAAATGTGTGCATCTGTGTGGCACCTAAATACCTGCCTCTAGCTATGGAAGCTCTGTGTCTACACAACAGTCTTCTTGTAAGTTCCTTCATGTACACTAGTGTCAAAGCCTTACGGTATTTGATTTACAGTCAGAAAAATATCCTGAGACAAAAATAAGGCCCTATAGGAAAAGTTGTAGGAAAAATGAAGCTGGAGCTGTGTGCACGATGACCTCTGTGGCAACAATAAAATAAAGAGATAACGCTGACTGGCTCATATTTCTGCTGCTGTTCTCTACTTTCTAGCTTCTTTCTCCCTCAGAAAATCAACCACATGACAACTTTATTAACCTGAGACTGATTTATTCAGTGACCCACTTCATTTTGAAAATTGATGCTTGTTTTTTAAAAGGACAGGAACACTATCACTCTTTTAGATTGTTTGTTGCGTTGTTGTATTTTCTCGCCTCTTTCTCTGTCTGTCTCACTTGTCGTTTTTTCTGAAAAGGTGTATGGGTGGCAATACAAGGTAAAAGCACCTTTATGACTTTTACGCCTTTGTCATACAGGTGCTTTTACCTTGTTCTTTCACAGACCTGAGGAGTACCTACTCCATCAAATTGATTACCCAGGCAAAGCGCATAGAGCTTACACTCCATTTGACCTGCTAAAAACTACATCTGAGGGTCTTCTTTAGAGTTAAAGAAACAACCCTGAGCAATGCATGACCCCATGCACTATACATCTGCCTTTCACTTTAAATCTCTCTTTGTACTCTGTTGACAAAGTATACAGGAAAGTCTCATTGAGGGGTTAGCTGAAGCAGGGGTATTACCTTACTGTTAATGATTCCGGGATCAATTGCGTCAGATTGAACTGGTTCCTTGCCCCTCCTCGCCCCCCACACACCTTCAAAGGCTCACCTGGCAAGGCACAGATGAAAGGCGGAATGAACAGGCAGCAGTGGGAGGTGTAGAGAGGCAATGAGTGCTGGGTGAAAGGTGCGGCAGACGAACGAAGACCAGGAATTAGGATGAAGAGGACAAGGGGAGAGAGGTGTGTGAGGGAGCGTAGCAGGGGGTTGTGCATGTGTGTCTATGCAGGTGTGTGTGTGTGTGTGTGTGTGTTAGTGTGTGTGTGTGTGTACATACTGTATATATATACACATATACATACACACACACACACACATATATATAGTCTATATTTTGCCAATGTATATATGTATTCTTATGTATGATACAGGTGGAGATGACAGCTCTGTATCAGCTAAGTCCCTCATTCTGTTGAACACACAGGCACAGTAATCCCCTGTTGCAATTTCAACTTTCTGAACCCTGCTCTGCACTGACACACAAACCTTTTGCACCTACTACACAAACACACATATGGCTGGCAAGTCAGTGATGCTCTGGCTGACACTCTCACCTGTGTGTGTTTGTACTGTATGAGATGCTTTCTCATGCACACACATTCAAACACAAAGTGGACTCAATAAAATTTGAATTCTTTGTTTTGCACCGCAGTGGTTCAGACATTCCCCCAAACAGCAAAGTCAATTTACTTTAACTTTTTTGCAATATTGTCCCAGACAGCTCAACTTTTTTTTCTGGAAAAAATGGTTGTATATTTGTTGATCCTCCAACTTTTGACATGAGACCACTGCTTGTCATTTTGGGGTTAGTCTGTCAATGTTTCCCAGTGTTTTGTGGTGTTGGCCCCTCTCCTTGTGTTGTGTTTTTCCTGTCTGTCTGTCTGTCTGTCTGTGTGTGTGTGCGAGCGCGCGCGCATGTGTGTGTGTGTGTGTGTATGGCTTCCTCCTGCCACTTCTCCTTGCTCCTGGCTTCACCCACCTGTTTGCTATCTACCAATCACCTGCTCAGCCTACTCACCTGCCACCAATCATCCCACCGTCCTGCTGTATATAAACCCCGGCTTTCCATTCACTCTTGGCTAGATTGTTGGTCAGTTCTGGTGAGTTGCCACCTGCCTGTTAGCCTCCCGTGTGCTCCTTGCCAGCCTGCCAGTTCCACTTGCCTCTATTATCTTCTAATATGCTACCTTCAACTTCACCATCTTCATTTTTGCCTTCCCTGGAATCTCCAGCCCTGCTATTCATTCACCCATTACCTCCCTGGTTTGCAACAAAACTTTTATTCAACTACAACCTGCTGTGAGTCCTGCATTTGAGTCCAGTCCAGTTACAAATCGTAACACTGAGGTGGCCCTGAACCTTCTACTGCAAACCCCCTTCAGTGCCTCAGAAGGGAGTTACAAACTCAATTTCACTCTATCACCTGTTGTTATTGTGTTTTGTTTTATAGAGAGTTAATCTTAATTAATTTAACAATTTGAACCGTTTAACTTTTTATGTCAAAGTTTTTAAAGGTAACATGCACATGTGACGTTAATACATCATAAATGTTTGAAATATTACATGTAACACTAATTTACATACATAAACTGTGTGTACTGAAACATGCTAGCACACAGATTTTCTGTACTGAAACTTCTGATTCTGATCAGATTATATCCCTATTCCATGTTTTTGACCTTTTCTGTCCAAAAAATGTGACTATTTAAGATGTTTAACTTACAGTGTAGCTGCATATACAAAGTTATGCTATGTGTGACCTTCTGCTTGATATATATATTTCTATGTGAGGGTGTAACTGTTTTCATTTCTCTCATTTTGTTATTCTGTAGTGTTATTTTCATAGTGGTTCTTCCAACTATAGTTTTTTTTTTTCTGTATGGGAGAGCTGGGACGAATGAAATGTCAGACCAAATGAACACAGCAGTTTTCTCTGAGCCCATACAAGTCTAATATGCTAAACTGCATGAGCATGTACAGTATGCAGTACATACCAGAACCACGAAAACACGAGTGAATATGTCACACTTTGCAGAGATATAATGAAGAAGCTGTTTTCAACCATGGAAAGTAAATTCACCCGAATGGTAACTTGTTTTGAATGACAACTTGTGTTTATGGTTTATTGTTTCATTGTCATGATGATGACAGATTTGTTGAAGTTTCGAGTGAAGTCAGGATTCAAACACTTGCTTCTTTCGTCCCTTTACTGCAGTCACACTGTAGATGAAATGGGAAATGGTCAATTGACCTCGTCTTTTATAATAAATTATATTTAACTTCAAATCACTCAATATGGAATTAAGGATAATCTACATTTAAAGCTGACCCACATAGGTCTGAAAAAAATACAAATGTGCACTTATTGTTAAGCCCTACATTCTAAAAATAGAATGTAATTAACGTTTTATTAAGATAAAGCGCATAAATGTTTGCAATTACATATTAAGAAGGACAATGTCAGACATATGAAAAACAATAATATCATAAATAATTTAAATCTATACCGCTGTGCTTCTTCCGTCCTGACCAGTCAGGACACAAGCAAGTCATTCCACATTTTTGTAAAATAGCACCTGGTATTGATAGAACACACGTGTGAATTGTTGATCATAACAAAAACATAGTTTCTGTCTGTAATGTTATCTTTTAAATTAAGTTTATCTGAAAAGTGTTTCAGTTATCTGGCTGTCCCCTAAATACTGTGAATGTAATATCCCCTACTCTGTCAAATAGCTTTTAAAATGTATTTTTGTTCCATTACTTGCTTTTGTTGCAGTGGTGGAGATCTAGAGGAAAGGACCAAGCCTAACAAACATCTACGGCTGGATGAAGTGACCTGCGTGGTTCAACATGCCCAGCCTGCACCAATTTAATATCTCAAAGCGTCAGTGACATTTCATTTGTGTTTCCTTCAATAGCAAAGTTGTGTCTACACACACACACAATCTTTGCCTGTTTTTATTGTTCAACTTTTACATTGTGCTGAGAGCTTCCATGAACCGTGCAGCAGCCTCTACTGAAATTCATCTCATAGCACTTACTAGCCTATTCAATGCCAGTGCAAGTTCAGAAACTGCCAGCTGCAATGGATATGAGCCAGAGAATACAAGAGGACGCCAGTTGTTTTCAAGGCAGTCCATGATACCTGAACTGAGCATTGTTGAGTCTTCACTGCAAAGAAGAGAGATCTGGTTATTAATTATCATCAGCAAGACTTTGCCTTTTAGTCATGTAATGGAATCTCAGTAATTTGAACTGGAACATTACAATTAGTACACATGCACTGCAGACAGACGCTCACACATGTCATTGTATCTCAGGCCTAGTTGGGACTTCTCTTAACAGCTCCAGCCCAAACCTCATTAACAGAAGCATCCACATTTGGTGCTGGTGCAGTAACTTGTAAACACATTAAAAATTTAATTGCACCTACAGGCTTTGGTGCTTCATGTGCATTTTAATTTGCAGGCCTCCCAACTTCTATTAACCAGCACTGTCCCCTCTGAAAATGGCCCTGAAACCAAGGTTTGAACATATTCAATAAATGCAGATTATATGTAAGTTTACAATGTTGGAAGTTGCTTTAATTAAAGAACTTCTCTGTCATATGTTTGTATATTTCAAAAACAAGAGGACCTTGATGAGTGAAATTAACAAATGTGAAAGTGTAGCCCAGTCAATATTCTTCCTCCGGAAATAAACAACTGATAATGTGTAGTAATGTGCTGTCTTTCTTTTTGACAGTTCAGAGATGCAGTGTAAATTGCCATGACAGTAGACCTCATGTAAAAAACTCTCCACCTTAGCTTTAATAGCTCTCTCATCGAGGCATCGAATTTTCAACTATTTGGGCTCAGCCCTAGTAATAAGCAAATTACCTTCAGGCAGATTTTTAAAGTGTTTGGAGTGAAGACTGTAGATCCAGAGAAGATGCTGGACAGTTTTAGTAACATATTTTGACTGGCCAACATAGTGCCTTGATGTGCAGCAAATGTTGAACCAGGGTTGACTTTTTTGCAGGATGACCCTGCATTTCTGTCGGGACCCCACTGTGACTTCACAGCGGTCTCACTGAAAGGAAAGCTCTGACACAGAGCTACACTGACCCAGAACATGCATCAACTAGCTCCCACTAACACCTGAAGGTTAGTTGATGCCATTTGGAAGACATGATAGAAACTACCATGTGATGCAATTGATTCCAGTTTGAAGTGTGAAAACCGCTTGTATGTGACCTGGTAGTACACGTGCACTGAAGTGTTTATATGAGGATCCACTCTCTGTGTCCCTCTGTCATGTTTTATATATCTCTCTGACTCACTCTGTTCCTCTCTTGCCATCTACTTCTCTCACAAAACTCACGCACACACACACACACACACACACACACACACACACATATATATTGGATACCTGTATTGCACACAGCTTAGTCAGCCCACACATTCTAGGGTAACAGGGTGTCTCACACTATGCCTTGGCTGGCAGACTGAGGCATGTGGAGGAAACACACACACTTGAACTGGCTAACCCGGCAGTGCACAGATGGACACATGGACAGGCTTTCAATGACCAACAGTCTCCAAGGACAAACTGATGGCCCATTCACAGCCATGTTTATACACACACACACACACACACACACACACACACACACACACACACACACACACACGTGTGTTGTTTAGGATCATGGTGTGTGTAGGTCCTTCACAGGTGGACTTGCAGTTCCATTAAGAGACATGAGGGGACGTGGCATCATTAATAATACAGCCAACAGCCTGCTCCAAGGGCCTGGGTTTAAGATTAACAAGCTGCCAACCTGGCGCGCACACACACACAGTTACTGACTCACCATAAGTTCTTAACGTCACTTTAGCTGACACAACTCTGCATGGGATTTAGACATTCTATTTGAAAATGGCCTGCATTAAAACACACTCTCTGCTACGCACACACAAACACACACATAACACTCCCGCAGGCAGCAGATGGTGTGGTGGGCGTCAGGTACAGTAGCAGCCTCCTGACACCCCAAACAGCTGTTACCATTACAGCATGCTAATTGCCATCAATCACAACAGCACCTCAGTGCATTCAGAGACAGGGTTTATGCCATTATGTGTGCTGTGTGTGTGTGTGTGTGTGTGTGTGTGTGTGTTTAAGAGTGTAACACAGAAATATAAAAGGCTGATTTTTCCCCCTCATTACATTAACCCAAAATAACCTCCTTTCCCTTCTTTTCTGGAAGAAAAAAACTGTGATGAATACTGAAGACAACAGGAGCAGAGACCACAAGATCCAAATTGTTGCATGTCTTTCCTGTGCTCATTAGTGTTTTTCTGTGTGTGTGTGTGTGTGTGTGTGGCCAGCATTCAAGATTTTGTGTTAAAGGTGGAAGTGGAGGTGGGGAGGGGGTCGTGTTAGCACACTGCTGTGAGGTGCGAATTAGTATGTTTTTAGCAAGCGGCTACATGTAGAGTTTGATTTGTGCTGGCGGACTGGGATCAATGGGCAGAAACAAGCTTGTCGATGTAGGTCAGACTGTACATAGCCATATTGATACTGTTGCAAACAAGCAAAAATCTGGTTCAATAGACCCTCATGGTTCAGAGGCAGATGCACACGAGCCATGCAACACAGGCTGGCATCTTATGTTGGGAATATTGATGGAATCATAGCTGAACCTTGAATTAAGAGGAAAATGTGCAGGGTTGGTGTTTGTTGTTTATCTGTTACGCCTTACTTGTTCAGGCTAGTTGTCATGATGAACTCAAACACCAAAGACATTCAGGTAAAGAACTAACTAATGATTGTATACAGCTGGGATCGACCTCCACGGATGTTTTCACTTCCACTCAACTGATGAAACTACTGCTCAGGACTGTATAGGCATGTATAGCTGCTACAGTGCCTAATTGACATTTTCCTCACACTTTGGTTTATTTATTCTCTTCTGTAGCTTATTGCACACGGGCATGGACTTCACTCACAACTTGTAACTGCTTGAAAGTATTTTGCCAATTAACAGCTGGTTTAATTAAGATTCACAATGACTGTTAGGATAAAGTGAATCTGCAGTCAAACCATAGTGCTTTGCCCAAGTGCACAAAGAACATAGAGGAGGTACTATTCAGGTACTACTGAATTCTTGTATACTAACTGCATACTGTAGTGTAGTGTATTTTGTATATAAAGTACTATAGTGTGGAATTGGAACACAGCAAAAACTTTAACTTAATTTATGTTAAAACTACTTCAATATTTTCTCAACAATAACCTGCTGAAGTGTGAATAGTAAGGGGACCAGGTGTACATTATGTGTAAAACATACTATAATGGCAACTGAGTAGATCCAACAAGCAACTGAAATCAGTGTCTAAAGTTCATCCCTTCCTGGCAGTGAAGTGGAATGCTTTCTCACTTTATGCAAAGTCCTCTTCCATCCTTTCCAGCCATCTTTCCTCCAAACACTTCCTCACATTGCTAGTTGCCAATCCTGATTTCTGATCGAGAATTTTACCCTGCAGAATCAATACTCTAATCTTCTCTCTGCCATAGATAAGTCTGTCTAGTCTGTCTGCTCTGCAAGTCCCCCCACCCAAAGATGTCCTTTGGGTGGGGGGGCTTTTTTCAAGCCTGTGGAGGATGCATGATTTTAATCCTTTTTCCCCCTCACAATGGCAAAACAATTATGTTTATTAAGATGTACAGATGCCAGATGTGGAGTTGATCTTGGATAGTTAATATGAACTGAATCTGTGTGTTCAGTTATCATAGCAAAGTAGTTTGAGCTAATAAAGCATAAACATGCCACACCACGTTACCACTCCCTCACTTGGGTGAAAGAGTTTCTGGAGACAGAGTAACGTTAATGGGCCTCTTTACAAATCAAGATGAGCATCTTAAATAAGGCACCTTGTATGGCTTTGCCAATGAATGCTTAGATCTAAATCAGCTGAGCTGTCAGCTGATAAAGGCTTGACTCGACATGGGCTGCTATCAGCTGATGCACTGGGATTGTGAACTGAGCTTGACTTCGTTGCCTGGCTGAATGTACACTATGCTCGATAATGTTTTACCTAGTGCTTGTGTGTTTTGAGTATTGTGAGCTCCACACTGGAAATTTAATAACCTTAAAGATGATTGTTACTTCATTGTGATAAGAAAATTTACAATTTATTGTGAGTGTATCATGCAGTGTGATACTCATACTGGTCTGGTCTTGGTGTTGACTTGGTCTTGTCTCAGTCTCGATAGACTCTGGTGTTGGTCATGACTTGGTTTAGGTGGTCTTTACTATACCGTAGTTTTTATAATATTTACAGAGACCCAACAATTCCCACCATGAGCAAGCACTTGGTTAGAGGCTAGGCAAAAACAGAGTGCAGGAGGAAAGAGATCATAGAGTAGCTCAATGCAAATTCCAGAGATTTAAACTAATATTAATGGCAATAGTAGTGGCCATGACAATAAATAACAATACTAATATTTGTAGCAGCAAGTGGTGTGCAGGAACATGGGGCAGCAGACGGCTTGCAACCACAAATTCAGACCCCACAGCTCCAGAGGCAGAAAGTGACAGAATGAGAGATGAGGGGGACAAGAAAGCTTAACTACGGGAGACTACCTGCTACTGTTAAGTACTTCTGATGCTGCAAATATTAAAAGTACACTGAATATAATTATAAATGCCACACTTGTTTTTGCACCCAATCATGAGCTTAACTCAAAGATCTAAGACTTTCTCTGTGTACACAAGTGTGTGTTGGAAAGAGAGGACCCAAAAGCAACACTCAGACCAAACAGATTTTATTACGGGAACAAAGGGGTTAAGGAAGTGGAGGTGAGGTAGAGGTGGATGATGGGGGAACACACAATATTTAAGAGAAATAGGCCTTTTGCGTACTGAGAAAGTCTTAGATCTTTGTGTTCAGCTCATGATGAATGGGGGCTCCTCCTCAGCTGTTGGTTAACTTGACCTACTTTTGCGCCACTCACTTCTACATGATCGCTATGTCTGTCCATGTTTCAGTGGGACAGTGACACGCTTCAGTCAGGAGGGCAACATGCACTTTGCTGATATTTGGCGCCATCTGTTGTTGTGGATGTATATTAACATTTAAAGTGCTGGACCCCAAAAATAAGACACGTTGAGTTTTTAAAACGAATTTCCACAAAAACATTCTCAATCTCCTGTGGACTGGATAATAACTGGCTTCGCAGTTGCCTGTTATCACTGTCCAGAAACCTCTCCATGAACTAAAGTTATCCAGACCTCTGAATGGCCATAAACTAAGGCCTCCAAAATGGAACTATACACACACACACAAACACATACCCAACCACAACTGGGCTGGGTACTGGTAACTGAACAGCCGGGCTAGCTACTGGCACAACCGGGCCATAGGAAACCAAACAGGAAAGCTGATGGAGCCAGGGACTGCTGCTAAACAGAGTCCAGGATTTGCAGCAGCTCAAGGGTGTCTGGAGTTGGTCGGACCAATGACAGATCGAGGAGCAGGAGTCGGTCGGACCACTGGCGAGGAATCAGGACCAGGGGTTGGTTGGACCATCAACAGAACTAGTGGAGCAGGAGTCAGTCGGACCACTGACGGAGAGCCAAAAACAGGAGTCGATCGGACCACCGATGGAGACCTTGGAACTGGTGTCGGTCGTACCAGCGACGGAACACGTGGAGCAGGAGTCAGTTGGAC